AAGTTCTGAGGCAATTTCTGCTTTGTTGTCAATCTACAGACATGTTTTAAAAATTCATCAGTGCTTATAGTCTCAAAATCTTACTAGGCTGATCTGCAAAAAAGCTCTCCTCTGTTTCAAAAACTGCCTGGAAAGTGGATGGCTTGGCTTTCCACCACGGATTAGATTCAGAAGTTGCCAAACTGAGCCTTATCTCTCATAACCCACCCCTCTCAGGAAGCATAGCCAGCACTTCAGACATTCCCTCTTCCCCAGCAGGAGATACTTGTCTTCTACTGAATGTCTCGTGATTCGAGAAGTAGGCAAATGTCACAGGAAAATTCCAGAAAACTACGTCCTGCCTTTATAGACACTTCCTCCACTCTCTTTAACTGGGAGAGGGGTCTATGGCAGACAGAAGAGGAATTGCACGAGGTCTGCTACCAACAGCCACTTCTAAAAAAGGAGCTCCAAGGACATGTTCAGGATAATCTCAGATTTCCTCTAGCAAAGCCTTCTCCCTACAGAACTCCAGCAAGACTGGAGGGAGAAGCCAAAGGCATCAGACTTGGAAGAAGGCTCCTCCTGAACCTTCCCTAAGAACTCTTCCAGCTTGAAGATGGAAAACTGGACTTTAAACATGAATGTGGGATCATGAACAGAGGAGGAATTGCCAATTCATAAAAAAAAAATATTTTCAAGATATGCTTTCCTTCCTATGATGGGTAGGAGTAGAAAACCCAACACATGCTAGCTGAAGACTAATGAGGACCCCAAGGGAGAGACTACAGTTCAGGCAATGGCCTTAAATACAAATATTTGTCCTGGATGTCCTCTCTCTGTCCTAATGGTTCACGGCAGCAACCACGCAAAAATAACTTGAGCATCGTGTTTATTGTGGAATTCATTGGATAGCAACTTAGAGGAACATCAGATCGTGCACAATAAAAGAACAGGGAATACAATAGGGAATAAAAGTTTTGCCTATAACGAAAACTTGCATGGTTATTTGAAGAAAGATCTTCAACACCTAAAAAGCAGCATTTGACAGCAAGAAAGCCCAGCCAAGAGCAATAAACACACGTGGCATTCACTTTTTATTCAGTGTAATAAGAAACCGGATGCTCCAGCTGAGAGACAAGAATGTAGGCAGGAATTAAGTAATATTTTTAACTTTAAAAGTAAGAACATCTTAACTTCAGTCATTGGAGAGTCTAGCAGTAAGCATAACCTCCTAGAAGATTAGTTTGTATTTCGGCTCAGCCATATAATGCCGTCATAGCCACTTAAAAATGGTTGCTGTGTACTTTGTTAGCTATGGAGCAAGCGACCAAAAACTTTACAACAGAGTACTGACTCTGCTGGAAATGCCGCGGCTATGCAAATTAATTTAAGCAATCCTAGTGGTATATATTTCAGTGAGAGCTGAAGTACAGCTCCAAATTTTTGTTGCTGACAAAATACTTTTTCTACAGTCCAGCCAGAGAGGCATCCAAAACTTAGCTCTGACTTCATAAGAAAAGGGATAGAAATCTTTTAATGCACTTTTACATGACTGTATCTCATGCATAGTCTTCTATAGCAGAAAGGACCATAGTTACTCAAAGGGGAGTGGGGGGTGAGAAGGAAGTGCTTTAGTAATGAACTAAGAATTAGTTCAAATCAGGAAGACCATGATAAAAAAAGGCATCAAAGCAAGAGCAGCAATACACCACAGTCCAAACTTATTCTAAACATGCTCAAAGCAACGACTGTGTCTGTCTTTCACACACTTGATTGCAGAAAACCGCAATTCATTCAATATCCAAAAATGTTTTAGAAACAGGAGACTCTAAGGAAAGAATTGCTGTATCGGCATAAGACACATGCAAAGTCACATAATTTCAAAAACTCTCCTAACAAGACAGCATTACTATATGTCAGGTACAACACTGACCCAAAGACAAAGCTTAGATTTTCACTTATCATTGCCAAAAAAAAACCCCCAAAAACCAAAACAAACACTTTCTCACATCCAAGATAAGATTCTTCAACTTTCATCGGCCAAAGTAAATAAATTACTTATACCAAAATACGAAATCCTGTTTATTGTTCAGCTTTTCTATTCTCAGCAAAGTATGTGTTAGGAAGCCATTTCTGCCTGCTCTGTCCGATCACAAGAACAGAGAGCAGGACTTTATGCTAGTAAATGGAGAGCAGTGAAAAGTTCACAAGTTTCCTACAGAAAATAGATGCAACGCAGCTGGCATCAGTAGAGCTTTCCCCTAAGTTTGGAGAACCAGCAGAGAAAACTGCTTGAGTAGGCAGGACACAAGCAAGCCAGCACAAGAGCTGGGTACCTTGCTTCCTGCTGCTCAGCAACAGGGAAAAGGAAAGAAAGCAAGCAACAGAAAAGTTAACCTAGGATCATCATTACAGCACAGGATTGTATCCATCCACATTTATCTCACAGTAGAAGGATTAGTGCTAATAAAAAAAATCCAGGCTTTCAGACCCAACTCAAGACTACCCACAAAACAAACCAATTCTAATATTCTAGAAAAAAACCAGAACATTTGGACTGGGAGGTTCAGCTGTGCGACATAAACACTCTTATAGTATGTGCTTTCTAAATTGAAAAATTATAGAAAAATGCAAAGAAGAATCTGAGATACAAACTGCAGATACCTTGTGAAAATGTAGTCAGTTATTAATAGAATTAAGTGAATATCCTCTTTAATTAAAGCTAAAGTAAGAACGTGTTGTCTATGAGCTACATGTTGCATTAATACTGCCAAGATAATAAGAAAAAGGCTCTTTCTTTTTTTTAATAAAAAAGGACATGAAAAAGTTACTTTCTTATCACCCCCTCCACACCAAGTAGACCAAAGATATTACATGCATTCTAATATATAAATATCACAGCTTCTTTCAGGATGGAAAGGAGGGGTTTTTTTTAAAAAAAAAAAAACTAATACGAAGACAGACCATATTTTACCAATTAAGTTACCCTCAGCCATGACAAATATTATCTCACAGTAAGAACAGATAAACACAAGGGAGAACCAGAGAGAGTAAATGTGTTTCCCGAGATGGGATACGCAAGAAATGGAACATTAGAACACATGAAGTGAGGATCAAGAAACAGGGGGAAATAGGTACAAGACGAATCACAAAAAGGCTCTAGAGCTACAAGAACACAGAAAAACCAGCCCCTTTCTAGCAAGGGAGTAATGCTGTTTGAATACCTGTTCAGTGCTTGATACCGCATTGTTGCGATATAGTTTTGGTTTAGATTTTGCATTTGTGAATGCACTTTACCTGTTTTGACTTGAAAATAGTGCCAACATTGCTGAAAGACTTCCATTTATAATTCAGTTCAAGATGACTACATAAAATGCCAAAAAACTTACACTACAAACTCACTACTTTTTCCTTCAGTTGGGAAAACTGATAACGAGCTTTGAGATTTAACTAGCCAATGTCAAAGTCCTATGAAAGAAAAACAAATGTATTATTTTCTTAACACCTGGAAGATATTCAAACGCTTTTTTGTATATTCCCTGAATGAGGAATTCAGCATTCTGACAGGAATAAGTAGGCAAACATTCTGCAAGTGCCTTATGGCAGGACGAGGATTACTCTTTTCTACCTACCATTTTTCCTTCAGCATAGTCTTATATCTTGTATAGAAGTTTGGTCCTTTTTAATTTCAAGACTACTCTGAAGAGAGATCATTTCCCACCCACATCAAACATCCACATTGGAGAGAAGACATTTTCATCATAACATCAACAGATTGCACTTCAGACTAGAAAGATCAGGGAAATGCATACCTCGGCATGTATTTTGATGTTGCATTTATTCTGCAATTACCTTCAAAATATAAATTTAAGACCATGACAACCTCTTCCACCTCTCCCTGGCTTTCATATCTCAGTCAAAATACATCTCATCATATCTTCATTACATAAAGACAATGAAGGATAATCAAGATAATTTTCTTAACAGCAATCTTTCACATGTGTTTATATTGACAGATACTAAAACTAAAGACTCAGTTTGTCACTTTTGAAATAGAAGTCTGGTTACTTGACCCTGAAAATTTAAGTTTGCTTTCTGAAAACTATTTATGTCCTAAGCAAATTAACCTGGTTTTGAAAAAAGCCCAGCCACAAAAAAAATTTATAGTAATTTTTTTCAGTACAAAAGCAAACTATTACATTTGCTTTTCATTCAATCATCTTAACTCTGTTTAGAGACTTCCCAAATAACTAGTAAAACCATTACAGTTCTTCCTAATAAAATTTTGAATTTAAACATGACCTTCAAAAGAATGCTACAAAACCATACAAACTATCCTTCCTCCCCCCCTCCTTGGAATGCACCATATAACAATTAACTGAATATGTGCCCTTGCTGACACAGGGCAGAACATTTCTCAAATGCATTAATTGACAAGAATATTTAACAGAATGGCTACTAGCAAAAAATATAAAAGCTTGATGAAATAAAACTACTGATTAGGTGCTCTTAAAGTATGAAAACATAATGCCTTCTCTGTCTTGGTATAAAAACGATTGCATGTTGCACTAGACAACAGATTTCCAGAAAAAAAAAAAAATTCCCACGTTATCCCATGTTTTACATAGTACTCACAAGCATCAGTCATACAAGTCTTCCTAGCATGACCCAATCACCAGTTTGTAAGACTATATTCTGTGTTAACTTTATTCCAAAAATCTTCAAACCATTAGGCAAGTATAAATTACTTTGCCTTCTAGAACCTTGTTTCATTAAAAACAAAGACCATGATTTTAAAATTCCTGTCTATATTCTCAACAAAAATATAGTCTTATTTTAGCAGAAATCAAAACAGTCAGTGAAAGTATCATGAAAATTGTCTCTGTACCAAACTACTAACTTCTAAATAGATCTTCATTTACTGTTTACCAGTGTTGCAAATTTAGACACTTTATAATATAGAGATTTACACTAGAAAAACACTTAATTAAGTGGGGTTGGGATCTAAAGATACATACGACCACTCAGACTCCAACTGCTCTTTGTAGGCTTTCAGGACATGGACAGCCACAGTCAAGTTCCCAGGATCCAGCAGTTCTCTCACTTTCTCTGAATTAAGGCAGGTGAACAGGACCATACAACAACAGGCAACAATTTTCTCATCATTGTACGTTAGGCATGTCCTTCAAGAGAAAAAAGGGAGTTAAGAGAGCAAGTTAAAACTCACCCTGGAAAAACAGACTAGTGGCATTCAGCTCGTTGAGTTATTCTTCTTTGCTGTCTTTTACAGAATCATTACTTTGTCATTGCCTAAGAGGGACAGAAGTTACCTGCAAAGAAAAACATCCAACTCCTAACTGAAGGTCAAACTTAAGAGGCAATTTACAAAACTAACGCTACATTGGAGCTAACTGGAGATCTAGGAATTGGGTGAAACCATAATAATTATCTGCTTCTGTTATCATAAGGTCTTTCTACATCCAGTGCTGATGAGTGGGCTCCAAAAAACACACTTGGAATGAGCATCAAATTGAATGCATGTGCCTTTGTTACTAGCTCCCTAGGAAAAATGTGGCCAAACACATCAACAAGATTGTTGTGTGTCTGCATAACATCATCTTTGTAATATTTCATTACACATGTCATCGAACCTCCAGGAAGATATTATAGTGAGGTTAGGAGGGGGGCAAAATGATTGGAAGACACAAAGATTAAGTCCCTTTTGTAGATTCCATCTGATCCACAAATACTGGCAGGTCTGCACAGCAGCAAAGGGAATAAAGAAAAAGCTGTGTTATTGGAAATAACTACTTGAAAACAACACTGAAATAAAGCTTACGTTTAAAGCACATAATTTGAAATATGAGTTTTCTTCCAGTTTCTGCTAAACGAAATCAATTTACCGTTAGTTTAGAACAAGCAGGTTTTAAAGGTCCCAACCCCTGAGGTTGACTAACAAAAAAACCAGGATATGGTCTCAACCATCCCATTCTTCCCAAAGTTATTTTTCAGAGCTTCATGGTGCTAGTAGAGGCACAAGTATCATGTACAAAAGATCTGAATATAACCACAGAAATTACATTATTAAAAAAACCCGCATCCATGCTTACAAGAAGAGATCTGGGAAAGCACACTTCCAAATGCTATTCTGGGAATCTCCATTTCCTGCTGCAATGTTTCCAAGAAACTGGAGGCTACAACGAAGAGCTGAAAAAAACACAGAAAGTATATTAATAGGAATTCAAAGAAACACTAATAGATTTCATATAAATGACAAACTTTTCAACATTACAGCTATATACTACTGAATCCATCTCAAATAAGCTTTGGATACAGAATTTCACTGCTACTGTACATAAATATTTCCATTTTCTCTTCTAATGCAAATAATTTTACAAAGTATTCTAGAATTATACCCAAAACATTTTTTTTTTCCTCAGTTACTTATATGACTACATAACATTGGTTACTAGTGATTACAAAAACTAATTGACTCTGCCAAGGTTTAAGACAGACTGAAATCAATGAAAGCTTGGAGCTACAGTCAGCACAAACCGAAGCAGACCCACGCTGAACCAGTGGCTGCCACATGGCAGTGGACATTTTGCCTCTTCCAGATCTGAAGTGGCTTTCTTCCTCATATTAAATTAACACAAATAAGCCGCCTGTCATCACCTGAACTCTGGAAGAGCAGCACTGCCTGCTACTAAGAGAAGTCCCCAGGCACCCTCCCCAAACTGGCCAGAGACAGCTTGAAAATTTTGTTGCAGCAGGCAGAGCCAGAGCACAAGCACTGCATCTGTTCCCTCGCTAGACACATTGAAGTCTATTTAGCTGGAGAAATCATTATATAATATGATGATGTACTCAATAATTTTATTTCTATCCTAGAAAAATTAAAGCCAGTACTCCAAGTAACTTTGTCTCCAATTTTAATGCTGAATTTAATATGGCAGGTTTCTACTACTACTACAAAGGATTTATTCCAGCCTCCTCTCAATATTGACTTAAAATACGGGAAGATGATATTTCATCACGCAAGGTAGTATCCTAGAGTCCTCCAAAACATATAAATTCATGAACAATAAAAGCATGAACCCATAGACCTCACAAAATTAAACCACTTTTTTTTGTCACTATTGACAGCTCTCAACAGCCTGGCCGTTATTAATAGGCTGGCAAAGAAAGTTAAAATTAAACGTTAAAATGCGGTTTAATAGATATTACAAACAGCAGCCTATTACAGATGGAGGTGGCTGATATTGGCAGGTTCTGAAATATAAAATTAGGTCTTTTTAAAAGGTGCTGCGCCAGCTGGCAGACAGATTTCCTATGGAGGTCTGGACATATGTCCTCAGGAACAAAAAGAAACCAAGTCTAAAATGAAGTCACTTGGACTTTGGGAATAGTAACTTTTTTTCCATATATATATTTAAAGCCCAAAATATAGATGTCCTCTCCATACTGCATTTTGAATAAACTTCTCCTTTATTCTTTAGTTCTTAAGATCTCTGTTTTCTCTCCTTGCACATCTGCACTTTCTTATTATTTTCTGTCTGTCATTATGCTTCCGCTTCTCTCATCCATCTGGTTCCCATCCTGCTGACTCAGAATTTTTCTGAAGGACAGCAGGCACGGGCATGCTACTTTTCTAGCGGACGTTTATGGAAATATTTCCCTGCTAGAAAAAGCTAACAAGGCAGTAAATCCTAGGAATAGGGTATCATTTCTCTTGGTGAGCTCCTTACCTACTCTACTATGAGAAAGATCTCTCAAAGAGGCACGATGTTGGTTGATTACACTCCAATCTTTACCTCAAATTTGCTTGACTTTTTCAGCTATCAGTTACACTTTAGTTGTTAGAGACTAAGCTGTCAAAAAAATACTACAAACTAGGAAAAAAAAAAGATCTTTTAAAAGTTGACAATCTTACTGTAACCATGATGAAATGCTATGAACACATTTGCAGTACAGTAAAAATTATCTACAAATTCTTCATTAATCATGCACTGGGGTCTTAATATTTGTGAAAGCAACTAACACTATCCTTGTTCAATGATGATGTCCTGAGCAAGCAAGACCATGGGAAAAAAAAAGTTTTAATCTCTAAGTGCTTAGTTTTAACCAGTAATGGTTAACATTTCTCTTTTAATTAGGGGACACAAATCAATATATGGGCAAGTAGATAATCCCTGAGACAAAAGCAACTGTATCTATTCACAATTAAGTGGAAAAAGAGGATATCTTGATAATGCAACATTTCCCCATGCAAGTAACCTCACATGATTAATCTCAGTAATTTGAAATATGTGATTTTACAAACACCTGAGGTAATCGAGGTATGCCAAGAGTACAAATTACACACAGAGAGACATACCTCACAGTATGCCCAATCAATTAATGTGCTCTGTCACAACCACAGTACAACTGCTGCACTGCTTCTGCAGTGCCAGAACTCTTTTCCCTATTAAAAAAAAAAAAAGTAATTCATATTACAACCCGCCCCCCCCAACTTCAGAGTATACATGCCAAATACGGTTTGTGTACTGGTGCATGAATACTCATATTTTGGCTTCTATGACCATAGATCTACCTTTGAGAAGCCAGGCCTGTTGGGAGCTGATGGGATTCACCTGACCAAGTAGGAAAAACTACCAACCAGTTCACCAACAAGCTGTCCAGAGTTACACAGTGAGACCCCATCCAGAATACTGGGTCCAGCTGTGCAGTCCCCAGTACAAGAAAAGCATGGACCTGTTAGAGCAAGTCCAGAGGCGGGCCACAAGAATAATCAGAGGCCTGGAACACCTCTCCTATGAAGAAAGGCTGAGAGAGTTGTGTTTGTTCAGTCTGGAGAAGAGAAGGCTCCAGGCAGATCATATTGCAGACTTTCAATACATAAAGGGGGCCTATAAAAACAATGGAGACTTTTTGTCAGGGCCTGTAGTGGCAAGACAAGAGGCAATGGTTTTAAACGGAATAAGAGTAGGTTTAGATTGGATACAAAGATGGTATTTTTTTATGATGAGGGTGGTGAGACACTGGAACAGGCTGCCCAGAGAGGTAGTAGATACCTATCAGAAGAAGCGTTCAAGGTCAGGTCAGATGGGGCTTTGAGCAACCTGGTTTAGTGGAAGACATCCCTGCCTATGACAGGGGGATTGGAACTCGATGATCTTTAAAGGTCCCTTCCAACCCAAACCATGCTATGAATCTATGTGCCATGGTCCAGCAGTCACAGATGGAAAGCCAATGATGAAAACGAGCAAACAGCATCAAAAGTGATTTAAAACTGATCCTTATGGGCTCTTTACAACTCAAGTTATTCTATGATTCTATGAAAAGTCATTAGAGCACCACAACTAGAGTAGTTCATCACAGTATGTTCTGTGAACCACAACACAGTAACATCTGCATGGTTATGTTTAAAAAAAAAAAGAAAGAAAAAAACCCCACAGGTGCACCTGGTGGTCTGGGAGTATGGAAATATCTGATATGCAGTGTTTCTCTCCAAAGATGATTCCATATAAAATGTACTAGCCTAGCACCAAGCTACCAAGTGACAGTGAATTTTAATATGACCATTGGAAATCTACACTTTGTTATTTACACTTTAAAAAATAAACCCTCAAAAATCCAACCAGAGCTGTAAATTCACAGCAGGGTATGTATGTGTCAAAAAATGCAAATGCTACAATAAAAGTGAAGCATTGCATTCCCAACTATGGAAGCCTCTTCTTAGCATTCAACTTCCATGTTTCTCTTCTTTGTTTTACCTCTATGGGACTTCACTGCTGCAACATACGATTCAACTATGCTTAGAAATCTGCAGAATACAGATACGGCTTTTCTCCTCTCCAACAATTTCATTGTTTTTACAGCAACAGCAAGAAAATTTAGAAGATGATTAAGACAGACTTAATTGTACAGTGTACCAACTGAAACCATTTTGCTATGCATTCAATAAGCCATGGGCTTTCTGAAAAGGGAAAGAAAAAAGAAAGAAAAGAAAGAAAAAAACACAACTACAAGATTTCCACTTTGTCCCTGAAAACTTACACACCTTTATTAAGCTAAAAATA